CAGAAGCGAGGCTGCCATATCGCGCAATCGGCCCCTCTGGCCAACACCAGTAGGCGGTAGGGTGTTGCCCAGGGACACAACGACGATGTTTCTCTGCCATTCACCGAATGTGAGGTACAGACACTTGTGACAAACTTCTATGCAACACATGGCATGCCGCAGTGTCTAGGAGCTACTGACTGTAAGCATATCGAGATAAAACAGCCTTCAGCAAACTCCACAGACTACATTAACAGAAAAGGCAAATACTCACATTACAAATACACATTCATAGATGTAGTTATTAAGTGGCCAGGTACCATTCATGATGCCTGCATATTTGCTAATTCTAACATTAGAGCCTACTTAAGAGACAGCAAGATTCCTTGTTGTCCAAAAGTAATCGTGGAGGCGGAAGATCCTGTTCCTGTTTTTCTCCTCGGTGACCCAGCATACCCCCGATGCCCTTTGTGATGAAAGAGTTTGCTAATGGAGGTACTACTCCTCAGGAACAGTATTTTGGGTTGTCATTGTGTAAATGCAGAATGGTGATCGAGTGTGCCTTTGGACATTTAAAAGGCCCATTTGGAGCACTACAGAGGGCGATGGACACCAATCTGGATGACCTTCCATTTGTGCTTACCAAGTTACTGGACCCCTGAATGCTCCTGTATTGTTGTTGGGTTTTTTTTGTTTGTTTTTTTCAGAAGATAATGCCACCAAATGCTGTTTGTCATTCACAATGTCATTTTTTTTGGACTTGGTATGGAAAGTCTCAGCATAGTAAAGACTTGTAACTCTGATAATACAATACACACATTATATACTCAAGTCAAAAATTAGTGTGCAAAAGAAGAGGGGGCAGGGAATACAACTGGAGCATAGAAATAACCATGCTGCTGAGGTTGTGCCCTGTGATGTGATAGTGGTGGCGCAGCTGCAGCAAATGGAGTCTGGGCCATTGTTTGTCTCATTAGAAGAAATACCTCCGTAACTGAATTTGTGAGTTTTTCAATGTTTGAGGTCAATCTCCCAATGTTCTCTGAAAACTCTTTGTTTGCAGCTTCCATTATCTCGAATGTCTGTCTCCTCAGCTTTAGATCCTCCTGTGCAAGCGTTAGTAGCTGTCCCTTGTTGGACAGCTTTCTTTTGAGCCTCTCGTGCCTGTAGGATGAAAGCGTCGTATTCAGGCGGTTTCGTCTTTGTTGAGTCTGTCCATCTGTGTCGGAGTCCTGACTGCTTGTAGCTGGAGACGGAGCCGAAGTACTGGGCGAAGGAGTAGTCCTTTTGTGTGAGCCTGACCGCGGGCAACTGCTATTGGTGGTCCTGCTGTGGTCGAGTATGTCGCTCGTTTCGATGCCACAGTTTATGGCAGTGATGGCTGGAGAACCACCCCAGATCTGCTTACATAGTTCAAAATACATCAGCACAACTCTTCCATGCCCGCTTCTTTTTACGGTGTCTACTGCGTGTCTGTACTTGAGTCAAATAGCCTTCAATTTTGTCGTTATTACTAGTTTGGTTAGGTCGTCCTTACTGTGGGGGTAGGCCGTCTCTCAGGATACTGCTCTTTGAGGCGTTCCAGTATTTCGGCGTATTTGTTCTGCACCGTCTCCCAGTCGATGTTCTTGCTTGCTTTGGAAACCTTGTACTCGTTGGTGACTCGGAGCAACAACTCCACCTCATTATCAGTCCACTTGAAAAGTTCGGTGCTTTGTCTTGCCATTTTGCCGCCACGTTTCAAAGAGCTGGAATGTAAATAAAAGGAAAAGGGAAATGACGCAGGTCGAGTCGTCTTGCGTTTCACACATGCGTGGAAATGCAACGTCATCTTTTTTAGCTGTTTCAGTGTGGACGCGCAACTTTTTGAAAACGACTAAAAACGCTAGTGTGGACATGGAGCGTTTTCAGTCGGCAGTTTTATATGCTTTATATATTCTGAGGTAAGTTGATCTATAGTGTTACATCATATTCCATAAGGATGTTATGTGTTTGTATACTTTCTGCCCAGTTTGACCCATTTAGCAGAAGTCAGCCTGTTTAAGGCTCTGATATCTATTCTGTATGACATAAGGAGTTATGACATGGTATGATTTTCTCACCCAATATGTAAGCATTGAGCCAAATTTAGTAATGCCAACATATTGAGCGAACAATATTTGTCTCTTTATATATAATTAGGGATGGGTACCGGTATCCAGTGCAATTATGGCACCGGTTCTGACATAAACGGTAGTAACCAGACCGAAAAGCAGCGCACATTTTGGTGCTTTATTTCGGTGCTTTTTTTCCCCTGAGATATCATACACTTTGGATTCTAGCCAATCATTTTACCTTTGCAAGCGTAGTAG